TTTACCTTAAGACGTCTCTAGGGGGTGGCGTCTACCCTTAACACGAAATTCGTAAAAGTGAAATCGGTGTAACACGGAATTTCTTAACACTGAAACTACCGAGCAATTAAATTGACTGTTTGAAATTCCTCTGTAGAAACTCCAAACGTCAATTGATTTACAATCCAGTTTGAACCAAACTTTTAAATAATTTCTCAGAGAAACATCTGTCATCTTTTTAATCATTGCAAAAAGAAGAAACCAGGAATGGATGATTTTAACCCGTCTGGCAGTTTCAGTGTTAACCACGTTATGAGAGAGCCTATTTTACAGTCCTGTAATAAAACCTGAATAGGTTTGCAGTCCTCGAAAGTCGAACGAAAGGACCTCCCGCTTGGCCATCGTACTCCGGTAATCTGCCCGGAAACAATGTGCCCGTCCTAAGCAAATCGTCGTCATTCAACGCACGTGTCGGGCATATGCGTATACTTGCGTTGGACCTGGAAGCACCAGCACGCGATTCGTCTTTGTATATGCCGTAGGGGCAAGGGAACTTGCCAGGCTGACTCATTAACCGGTAATCGAGAAGCGCGCGTCTTTCGCTCTGCGCGCAAGGAAACGACCTGTTCCGTTTTCCACTGGAAACTTTTCGAATATATCTATGGATCATGAATTATCCATAACACGTTGTTTCAACTGTTTTTGCATTACTGCGACCGATTACGATAATTCCAAGTTTTTTTCGTTTCCTTTGCTTTCGTTTGCTCGACTACGGTCTCTGAAACTTGGGAAATTTTACTTACTTTGATGTTTGCGTTTGGGCGATTTTGGGATATTTCTTTGTTTCTATTTTTTTACTGAAAGAAAGGTTTTTACAACTTGGGAAGATTTATTTGTTTGATGCTTGCGTTTAGGATCTTTAGATTGTACTTGGCTTTTTGTTTTGGAATTTTAATTGTGTTTGTCGTGATTATGTTATTGTACTCGTTTTGGGTAAGTTTTTTAGATTTCTTATCATTCTTTGGAAAACTCTTATTTGGAGATACTAGAAGTTTATTATAGAACTGTGAAGTTTTATTAGAGAAGTTTCGATGTAGTAGGTAATATGTATACCGGAATTATTCAAAATTTGGAAAATTCGGTATTCGGATATTTAATTTCATACGAAAATACAAAAACGATTGTTGCTAATCTATGAAGTAGATTGTCCTTAATCTAAACAAATTACTTAATTTAATTCAAAATGAATATATCATTCTCACAAAGAAAATAAATTTAAGTATATTTCTAAGATTATTCTATTTTCTTATTAATATAAATTTATCAGGACTTATACCAGACATTCTTACTGCAATCAGTAATTACCTTTTATACAGATAAGAGTCATAATTATATTTCTAAATTTATAGTGTACTTGCCGGTACTCAAAATAAAATTAAATGAAAACTTTAATGAAGCAATCACCAAAAGAATGTGTTAGTTATTGTACTATCTAAAATATGCGCAATTCGTTTACAAGAATTCACCCACTTACGTTACATAAGTAGATTTGTCTAAGAAATTGAAAGTTCGGAAGAATTTTCTAAACATTCGTTCTACTCTCTCTTAAATAATGTACTAATCGATCGAGGAATTTCTCGTGTGCATTAAATAAGTAGATACTTTCACATTCCTTTTTATAGCTTATATAATTTCAATTGCACATTGTTATATGAATCCAGCATACTTTTTTTGGTTTCTAAATTCTAACATTCCTTACCTTTACATTCACCGTGAACATTCTACTAACATTCTTCCACACATCGATTAAACATTTAATTTACTTATTTCGTATACAATTGCACGATAATGTAATTACATACACAATAATGAAAACGTGTGTATTATTATGTATATAATTATACAAATTACTTTTTCCGAACTCATTTCAATTAATTTCGGTAAAATTTCAATTTTAGCCGGAAAGAAAGGAAGAAAGCTGATACTTTCGAGCGATTTCTGATACGTAAAACGATCTTTTCAGTGAATGCCATAATTTCTCTTCTAGTCAATAAAAGAAGGTACGATACGGTGCTTTGGATATACTCTTATATATCCTTTAAACACGTGAAACCATTATTTTATTAGGAAATTATATTAAAAAATATAAAATAATGAATAATCAGTATACCATATTAAACATATAAATAGAATTTAAAAAATTATACACAAATATATTTTCCATGTGATTGTCTAGCCTCAGTTGTGTGAAAAACACGAAGCCATACAAGTGTTCATTCAATTTTGTAAAGACGACAACAAAGGATGTTATAAGTGTGCACTGTAAAAGGGAAGGCAATCGATCAAATAGTTACCAAGGAAATTACGAGATTGTGTTTGAAAAACAATTTTTACTTGTAACAACGATTTGAGTGCATCACAGTTTTTCTTGATACGTGTAAATATTTTTTATTACTTACAAGGGAAGTTGTCGAAATTCAAGAGATTATGAAACTTCGTGTGTAAGTAGAGTAAGTTAAGCCTAATATATTGAAATTTCTTTTTTCGCGTCGAATTTCAATTTGAAGGGTGAAGCCACCTCTTGAAGAAAATGCAAATTTTTCTTTCTCGTGGATTATCTTGAGAACGGTGTGAGATAGCGAAAAAAAGTTTCAATAAAAATACATTATTTTTTTACGCCCATATAATTGCCAAATAAAATTGTTCAAAAAATTCAAATTTTTTAAAAAATTGTAAAAGTCGACAGGAAAAAAGAAATTGCAATGTATTAGACTTGACTTACTCTACTTATACACAAAGTTTCGTAATATCTTGAATTCTGCGTTCGATATCTTCCCTTGTTAGTGTACATGTGTTTTACAGAAATTACACTGATAAATAGCTCGCCGTTAATACTGCCGAGACGAGGCCAGAGAAACGCGGTTACTGTTCTGCGAACTGAATTAAAATAATACTGAAATTTGCCTTGTACATCAGATAAATATAACATAATATAGAACGTAATTAGAGAAGTGGAATTACAATATAAAAAGCTCTTTCTTAACGAGCCCTATCAAAAGCACTACATTTCGAATATTTCATATACTTTTTCATGTCGTGTTGCACTTTATCCAATTCCCCACTATCATATTTCTCATAAATACATAAAAAATCAGTTCAAAGGGATCCGACAAATCACACGAAACGCTGAAAATTCTTCTAACTGTAAACACATAACTCTCTTACCCAAAAACCGTATTTATCACATTTATTCACACGATTCCGTTCAGTCCAGTGAAACCGAACGTCGATAAAAAGCTCGTATACGTCGTAATAGATTTTCTTTCCGTTTGACAAGGTAGGTTGTCCTCGTTGCATACATTGAACAGGTCTATATTGTATAATGTAGTAGCGCATCCGATAGGTATGTATAGGTACGTATCATCTAAAATAGTCAATAAAGGGAGTAACGTTGTTTTAACCGTAATTACGTTTATCCAGCAACAAATCGATATAATATTCTTTAGTCTGTGGCCGGCTACGACAACGGCCTTTAATAAGGAGACTAGAATAATTCATCTGTGACAAGTTGAACGCAATGCCGCGGCGTACTTATATCTTTTGTGAATCAACTTTCACTGTACGTACTTAGGTACCTATATACCAGCGAGCACAAACTCTTAAAGCGTGAAACCATCGTAGAAATCATCGTATAAATTATCGTATTTACAGCTTCGACTACGAGCCAGCCGCGATTTCATTCTCCATTTCATTCAATTATCCCTCGTGCCCGTCGATTGTTTAGATCAGCGTTTCTCAAAGTGTGGTACACGTACCACTAATGGTAAATACATTACGTTATTCTTGACGGTACAACGCTTCTTGTGGAGAAATGTTGCTTATTTATTTGAAAATAATTTTTGATAAAGAGATACGATTTTGAATGCTCTTGAACATATCATATCTTTGCGAAACTCAGTTTTCAGCCATACTATTACTTAAAAATAAATATAGGACACGGTTGCAACTTGAACCTTACTTACGTTTTAATGAAGATAACGGTTGATGTATCGAAATTGATTAGAACGAAACACACTCATCATTCATGTTGATCTTCAATAATAAATCTACTTAATGTTCTCTCGTTTATTATTACCCACCATTTATATTTTATTATAATGTAAAAGTTTCAACTTCAAGTATAATTAACACAATACATATGTAATTTCTATAAAAATTATAAGAATAGATTATTTTCAGCTTCTTAGTATACTAATTATAGTATTTAAGTGAAACTATCCATTTTTTAAATTATTTCGAATATTCAATGCTTCTAAAATATTAATCATTGCGAAACAAGAAAACCGTATATAAGAAGTAATATTAGTTTGAAATGTTTTATTCTTTAATTATAAACACTCCACACTACGTACACTGTTGGACTACAACTTTCGGATTTTTGACAACGTTTATTAGAGAATTTTTGTGTATGAGAAAGGAACGTGGACACATGTGTAATAGTCAAATATAAAGATACATTATTCTTGTTATTTTATTTTATATATTTGCAAAATACAATCATATAATTATATGATTCTTAACTCGTGACGGTACATATCAAGTGGTCCCAAACTTTTGATTGAGAGGGCATATTTTTTGATTCATATTTATGTGGTTCAAAATTTACAAAGTTTGAGAACCTCTTTATAATGGTTTAAATCCATCGAAATAAATCCTGTGAAATCGTTTCTCTCTCCTTCTTCCTTTTCCTCCCGAGTTTTTCTTCCACAGAATTCAATTTGAGCAGCGTAAGAAGATTCGCGTGATTATCGGTGAATCGCACGCGCATACGTCGTTAATTAGCGACATTACCGATCCATTCAAACATCCACCAATCCGACAGGAAATGTTTACAGGAACGACCTATTTAAATTTGCTGAACCGTTTCTAAGATGATTTATTCCTGTTTACAGAACGATCACGTATGATTTACGATAATGTGAAAATTGTTTAATATTATAAGCTACTCTGTCTTGTTTCAGACGTGGCGCTCGGTGACGGCGAGTTCGGTTATAGCGGGGAAGAAGGTGAGTTAATTATGCATATTGCTATCTATGAATGCTGAATGATTTAAAATCAATCCGCTGCGGAGAATACGATTCTTTGATATATATTAATATTAATGTTGTGTATTTTCATATTACTTGTCCTTCGATTCTGTCATTTTAATAAATTAATGTGTGAATTAGTTACTATTTGACAATTGCGAGTAACTTTGCTAAGTAGAAGCGAACATATAATTTTGTGTTACAAAATGTACCTTTGATTTACTTATCAATAATGAAACATTGTTGATTGGTTTACTGTATAGAATTAAATTAACTTGGATTAAATTACTAAATGTATTTTAATTTTCCAAAAATTTTAAATCATATGTTTATCAAATGTGTAGTAGCATAAACCGAAATCGGCAAAAATAATATTATTTAATAATTTATGATTTTAATCTGCAGCGGTTTCGTTTAACGATAAAAGGATTTTCAGTGGAAATCTAAGAAAACTTTGAATTTCACATTCTAGGACCACAAAACTGGGGCGACAGTTTTAAGACGTGCTTGGGGAAATACCAGTCCCCCATTGACATTGAAGATAAGGATGTTTGGAACTCTACCTTTCCACCACTAGAAATTTTTAACGTTGAGAGCCCTCACCCAGCCTACATGACGAACAATGGGCACACAGGTATATGATAGCAAGGTTAATGTATTGACAAGTATAGGCGTACAGTTTCCACTAAGGAGTTTGTACAAATGTAGAGACTAGCAGTTGCGTGCTTAGAATCTTGAACAAGAAAAACAGAAATCGTTGTTTCTACGATTAAAAAAAAAGTTAAAAAATAGAAGAATTTCGCGAGAAGTATCACGAAAATCGAAAAGTCAATTGTTTGTATTTATAATGCCAGAGAAACTAAATAAACATTCTGATTTATTGCATTATTGACAATGTAAAGAAGAAACCAACTTTCGAATGTACCAATTTCATATATCAATAAATTTTGGTAAATATATAATTTGGTAAATGTATAAAGAACACGTAAGAAAAGCTTGAAACGATTTTTGACAATTAAATTATTGATAGCTTCCATATGTTTGTTTCGAAAACGAATATAAAGACGTTACATTAATCAAACAAAACGTAAAACGTTCGCATCTCTTGTTTGAAGTGTGCGTCAACGCGATATTTCAGGTTATTGTCAAACTCTCCGATCGGAATTGCAAAAGCAAACGTACCTACGTCGTCGATGTAAATATTCAAAAAAGTAATGAATATTCCGGTAAAGCAAACGAGATCGACGTTCAAACATTGAAAAAGAATTCGGAATTGTAAAAATTATTCTTTTGTTGTTCGTTGTACGATACGGATGATTTTGATGGCAATCGAAAGCTAATATTATTGAATTTCAATGTTTAAATTAGAACTGTTCTTTGATTGTTAAATCTTGAAAAAGAAATATTTATTATGAACGAAGATAAATACATTTCACTCTATACTTTATTTGTTCTAACTTGAGCTTAACAAAGATAGTTTCTATTATTTTTTCGTGTGGTCAAAGGATAGGGTTGCCTTCACATCCAATATAAATAACCTAATTAATAGATATGGATATTACAAACAATAATGGACAATATATCATTAAATAATCTTCCTTCTCAGATGAAATATATAACATTGAATTTTCCCTGAAAAAAACGACAAAACTTTCTTGCCGACCTAATACTTCCTCTGTTTCGGGGAAGAACAGTTTTCCAAGCGCGATCACTCTACATTAGTATTAATCGCTATAATTGTTTTAAGCGTGCGTCACACGTGACCATTGTCCTTGAACGACTGCAAATTACCGTCGATTATCGCACGTCATAGACATTGTCCCGTCCCACAATTAAGATAAACCTTCGTGGAATCCCATTTTTGTAACGAAAGAATCTGAAAACGGAGGATGTTTACCGATTAAATAGAAATTCTGACCGTAATCTGCTTCGCCGTGATTAGTTATCGTGATTCATCCTTTCAGTGATGATTCTGCCTACTGATCCGGATCCTGACTCTTTGCCGACCATATCCGGGGGACCGTTGAATGACACATACGTATTTCAACAATTACACTTTCACTGGGGAAAAAGTGATGACGTAGGATCTGAAGATCTGATCAATAATCATTCGTTCTCGATGGAACTACACGCGGTGTTCTGGAAGAAACTCTACGGCTCTCAACAAGAAGCATTGAAACACGAGGATGGCTTGACCGTTCTGGCGTACTTATACCAGGTAAAACAATTCAATCGTACAATAATGTGGTATGTATTATATAGGCCACCTGTGTTTCCTAACTGATGGTTGCGCTGGTCAGTCATTTGAGTTAGGTCTGGCTAAGAATTTATTTCATAAAATACATTCTTGGTACTTTGTTATTATTATTTTATTTTTGAAAAACAAGGTAGTTTGTATAAAACGTAAGTACCCATAATGGTACACATATTAAATTATTATTATTATTATTTTATTCTTGAAAAACAAAGGTGATCCGTATAATACGTAAGCACTCACAGTATTACGTAAATATTCAAGTGAATTAATAACATTTTAACCTTTTCTACTAAAGATAAGAAGCATGTTTGAATATGTGAATACGTTGATCCCAATGACACACAACGATTGAATTTTACGCATAATGTTGAACAATTATTGAAATATTCATTGTATTATATTTTATAAAATTCAGTGTAAGTACCATGGAAAGTTTGTATTACCTGTTTGATGGTTTGTGAAATTAAGTTTACTAATTTTCGTAAAAATATTGATTCAACTATATTTTGCATATTTTCATATGTCAAAAATATATAAAATTTGCAATTTGATTGTATCAGATGAAAAGTTATATTCTAGAACTATTGAAATACGGAAATTATTATAAAATAAGATAACAATATGATAATTATGTTGTGTGTAATTTACAATCTTTCGCGTTTCTTTTAAATATCTGTTGAATTAGATTGTGGGTTACACTATAATTTTCGCTTTATATTTCTTCCCACTAATAATCAATTGGAAATTAACAACTATCGTTTAAAAAATAATTTCTATTTTCTGGTTTATATGTTTTATTCATAATTCACACAATTTGGAGTATTTTACTATCGTCCTGTTAAAAGAATATAAATGACACTAATGATCAGAATATACATATTTCACACTTTAAATATCAATGCAAAAGAGCAACATTACAACTTAAACTCTATACGTTTCTCGTATATAATTTCGCATGTATGAATATGTAGAGTTTGAAGTTACACGTCAAATTAGTCATGCTAATTACATTTCCCCTGCTATCTGTAACGCTCGGGCATTATCTACGTCATTTTCTTGTGTTCCTGGTTATTCTAGGTGCATTTCAAAATATTTTTAATACGTTCCAGGCCACCGAAATTTTCGATTATATTTTACTTATAAAGTGTATTATTCAGTTTTTAAATAAAATATTAAGCTATACATACGTTTTTGATATCTTTTGTATATTTTATTATCATTTCTTTACATACTCGTTACTTGGTAACACGTATCTCGCAAAAAATATTTTCTCATAAAAAATGGCACGTACCAAAAACGGTATACAAGCTCACAACGTATTAACAACGCGAATATATTAGGTCGATACAAAAGTTTCGATATTTTATTCATAATAAATAAAAAGAGTTCACAACTGTTCACTGGTTAAACTAAACCTAAGTAAAATCGAAAAAAGAAGTGCCCTTCGTGTACGTTACACTAGTTAAATGTTATTTGTTTTAAATAAAATTGTTTCGTTAATCACGTAGAAACGTAAAAATTTTGCATCAACCCAATACTTTCAGGCTGGACTACGAGCCACCGAACACACAAGTGATCCGGAAAGGGAAAGATCCTCATGCGTATTTATAATTCCGTTCCGTAAAAATAGGAACAATCCGGTATATGATTACATTCCGATAAATTACTCCATCATACGGACGCTTGCGTTTGTTTAGAAGCAAAAATTGGATACATTTCGATACCCGAATGCTTGCTCTTATGAAATTCTTGGAAAAATATACTTACGTGTTACAGGCAGCGGACAAGCCGAATCCGACTTTTGAGCCGATTATGCCGCAGATACCAGAAATAAAGGCGGTCGGCAGTAATTCGACGATAAGTGACGTTAACATCTTAAACAAATTGATCGCGCCTAATACCATCCCGTCGCAAGATTATTACACGTACAAAGGGTCGTTAACTACACCCCCGTGCTTGGAGATTGTGCAATGGATCGACTTCATACACCCGCAGATAATATCCCACGAGCAGGTATTTAGAAAGCTGAACTTTTTAAATACGCGTTTAAGCACGTGCAGACTGTTCCTCTAACGTCTACCGAAACATTAACACGTTTTCTAATTATAAACCTGAGAATGGGTGTAAACGTGTTTCGTCAATGCTACAGTTCGCAGTCGCGTCTGTTTGAATTCCATGATTTAAAGTCTAGCGGTGAAAGCGATCGTTAATAATAAGTAGAGTGCGAACGCCTGCGTAAATAGAGATTTTTAGTAAGTAGTCATGGATAGAAACCAGAAACAGAAAAACATGTTTCGGGTTCTACCTGGTGCTGGATGAAATAATATTAACGGTCTAAGAATAACGTTCTCGATAATTGCTGACTACCGTTTGAATTCTTGTTTTAAGGATTCGTTTAACAATTCTGTTTCCGTTGAAAAGAATTGTGTGTAAATTACAAATTTCAAATGTATCGCAATGTTTTCTACGAAATTTTATATTGTAATGGAAAAGAAAGACATGGTCTTTGTTATTCTCGATTATAACTATTGCGTTTCTTAATGAATTGAACTGGACAATGTCCAATCACTTATGAAATGCTCATTTCATGGAAGTGGAAGGTTTTTAGTTGATTTAGAATTAAATACTGCATGTGGTAGTGAATAGGAAAGTAATTATTATTCAATTCGGAATTCATTCCTAACACTTTACAGGTCACTGAATTTGAATTGAAAATTAGATCAAAGAATTTAGGAACATTGTGCATAATGTTTTGTTACTTATGTTCTAATGATTATTTAGAATACTTTTTCATTTACAAAATTGATTTTTAGTTGGCCGTTTTCCGCAGTATTAAAGGATCGGACGGTTCAAAATTGACACACAATTATCGTCCAGTACAACCACTAGACGACAGAGTCATTTATCGTAATATCTACGATAAAAGCTCTGGATCGCCCAAACCTACGGAGACTTCCAAACCGACGGTTTTGACAACTATGGAGCCAACTGCACAACCAACAACTGCTCAATCAGCAACTGCTCAATCAGCAACTGCTCAACCAACAACTGTACAACCAACAACTGTACAACCAACAACTTCTAAACCAACAACTGCACAGACAAGTTCTAAACCAACAACTGCACAGACAACTTCTAAACTAACAAATGCACCAACTACTTCAATGCCTCCTGGAAAAGTTACTATGGCAATACCTACTAATGAAGTAACAGACGCAAGTATGCCTGAAAGAAGCACAATGAAACCAGTTGACAACGAAAGTCATAAAAATAGTCAAGGAAGAGTACAAAGTACAGCAGGTTTGTACCTTGTTTCTTTTATTTTCATCTATCTTTGTCGATTATTAAAGTAGTCATAAATATATTATAAAAGTTATATTTCATTTATATTACAGTACTCGCAATACTGCTTGGAATACTTTTTCTTTAACCACATCGACAAAGTACTGGATGTTCTAGTTAATCTTTGACTAGAAACAGATACACAGTTTAATGTAAGAAGTAAACAAGTTTTGAATAAGTATGTAAATAATGTATTTCAGTATGAAACAGTAATTATTTATACTCTCAGAGGCATTCGTATTTAAACATAATGTCTATATGCTGACATTTCATTAAATAATTTCAAGGCTATGCAATAGTAGGTTACATATGATAAGATCAAAAATACTTTCTTATTTTTGACTGTAATTTATGTATGTACTATTATTAATTAAATATAAGAGTGTCTTAGATATTATATAGAAGTACTCTTCGAGTCAACTTATACTTCAGTAAAGAAATCATTCTTATGTTAACTGATTTACAATGAGATATCAGATGTATAAAAGGTTGTTAACACACAGTCATTGTACTTTTATAATGTTAGACTCTGGAAATGTCACTAAAAGTATTGGTTTGTCTATCTATTCATCATCAAAGAGATCATGCTGCCCTATAAAATATAATTTTTAATATTGGCATTTGTTCGTGTAACAGTTCCTATTGCTGCCATAATGATCTATAAATTAGTCATGTAGTCAATAAGATTCCTTTAGAAATAAACATGTGTGTATGTATCAAATATGGTCAACTGAAATAAATGAAAAATATAACAACTAATTGCTAAAAATATATTTTATTACAACCTTATATGTACAAAATTATTTAAACCCTAAAATACACAAATGATTGTCTGTATCAGGTAGGTGATTCTGTCTGTTCTTTAGCTGCCATATTTACTACAGCAGCCAAGTCATGCTGACCTTGTTTAAGGCGTTCTCTTATAAGTTCTGCTATTGCTTTTTGTGTCCTCCTCTCTAATTTCTCTAACTTTTTAGCAACGTCTCTCTTTAAATCCCAATCTGGTTTTCTAGGTGCTAAGTTACTAATATCCTACAGAGTACAGTTTATGTAGACACGAAATATTAATTCCAGAAGTTAATGTCATAAGTACAATTACTTACAAGTTCTTCAATAACAACTTTTGTATTTGCTGCACTTAATTGATCCTGCACTTCTGCTTCTACATTTCCAGGTTTTGCTTCTTCTAAAACTTTTTCCTTAAGGCTGTCATCTTGTGGTTTATAACTTCTAAACTTTGGCCTGCCAAAAATAAATACATAAACACAAATAAACATCCTATTTTGAGGTTAGTATAAATCAAATCTAAAAATCTCTAACAAAAGGAAGACAACTCACTTTGGTAATTTACTAACGGCATCGCTCTTATTTTCTTTACTATCTTCAGTTTTTCGCTTTAAAGCTTGTAAGCGTTCTTTTCGTTTTAAAGCTTCTTCTTCCAACGTGCCTATATTATCTTCCGTCATGTTTATTTCTTTGCGCGTTACTGCAGATGGCAGTGTAGATCCTTCGAACAACCTCTATGTTCGAGGAAAGGTAATCGCTAGCCAAAATAGCAAGTTCTTTTATATTTTTAATAATGAAATATAAGAAAGAATTATAATAAAGAATTATAAGAAATAAGATATCTGTTGGCAGATGATACCACGTCTCCTTCCTTGAGCCTGAAAACATCTATGTAAAGAAACATACAACATGTACATATAAGCAGTAACATAAGAAACAAATACAAGATAGAATTATAAAATAAAAATATAAAACACAATTAGAAGATAGAATTCTAAGTAAAAAATTATTAGAAATAAAGAACCCCTCGGTGGATGACGGATAACTTCTTTCTTGAAATTAAACCTAAAAATTAAATCTAATTTTAAACATGGATCTGTACGTTGTGAATGCAAGCTACGAGAGACAGATGAAGATTCATTTAATCAAATCTTCGCTTCTTAACCTAACGGATCTTGATATTAGCACAATTAATTCTAATTTATCGGCAGATGGCTTCTTTCTTGAACCTAAACCCAATTAAAGAAATATAGTGTTATTAGTAACATGAGGCAAAAGGGAAAGAAATGAAATATTCCACGGTGGCCAATTAATAGCTGACAATTATGAATTCTACTATGAAATCTATTACATATATTATATGCATGCATCTGTGTTTTCAACTCGTAAAGAAAACTCTTTACGTTTGTTGATTTTGCTAATTTCGATCATCGGTTTGAATGTAATTCTTAAACTCGACACTTTTAGTCATAGAGGGCATATTAAAACATCTGCTCTTTTTACACAATCGGTATTTCAGACTATCGAACACGAAGTCCCATAAGATGTCCAGTCTATCCTATTTCTCGTCGATGATAATACTGTATTTATTACGAATAATGCAGATAAATGATTGTATTGCAAGTATAAGTAATAGGGAATGAATATATTTGGGTGCAGCAAAATGTAAGTGATAACTAATTGTTATTAATCTAATGTGTTCATTAAAGTTAATTATATATCATTAAATATTTATTTTTCAATATAGATTTCATATTCAGTAGATTCTTAATTTATGTTATGAGATAACAGTAATTTTCACTTGTTGCTGATCGATCTTATTTTCACAATGAGATTACTGGTGCCATCTATCAAAGGTCAAACAAGTTGATAGCACAGAGTTTACTACTAGGTGACACTATCATTCACTATATAGAATTTCTTTTTACCCATTGATTTTTTAATAATAAAATATCAACAAACGGATCACAATTTAGTTGTTTTTTTAACAATTTAATGTGGAAATAATTTCCATAAATCAAAATATTTTTTGACAATACTTGATACTTATATTTGTTCTTAATATTACTAAAATGAAATGTTACAATATCTTCATTTTTGAATTCTTCATTTAAACTGTTTAAAAGTTATCATAAAATATAAATTTGTTAGTAAAATTATATTCATTACTTCACTTCGTTAAGAAATATAATTTAAAGTATTAGATAAAGAAGAGACAGGAAGAGAACCAAAGAATGAATTCATTATTTTTTAAAACAGTATATTAACATTTTTACAATATGTCATACAGTTTGGCGTCAGATAAATTACAAGAAAAAACTCGTCGATTACATCTAACGTATTACCTACATACCCTACTTAATGTTATATTAATTTGTAACGTAAGTTTAAGTCTTAATGCACATTTAAACACGACATCATGTACGAATTGTGTGTGTGTGTGTGTGTGTGTGTGTGTGGCTATTGTATACAACTTTCTTAGTTCTTCTTAAAATATGTCCCACGCACGCTTTACATTAATTTTTTTTTAATTACAACATGATACAATTTCTATACATAAATTGTCTGCAAAAAATAAAGTGAATACCATATTGAAGAAAAAACAATTTCTATTTCAATATTATTACTATACTTTCTTATTGTTTCGTTGTTATACATATCCGCAAGTATTAGAATTTCATTCTTAACCCTCTGCTCTCTTTAATAAATTATAAGTTATATTAAAAGGAATTCAAGATACAGCAAGAAAATTTCAATTCTAGAAAGCACATAAAGTATTACGTTAATATTGGCTATAAACGTTAATATTCAGTTATAAACGAAAATCATGGTACCAAGAAAATTGTTAACGCTCATGTTAAGCATTCATTAAACATTTCCGTTTTATTTATTAAACATTTATCAAACATTTTCTATTCATTGTCATTGTTTCCTAACCATTAACTATACGAAAAAATTACTATTTTGCACACAACGATACAGACTGCTATATTCAATGACTGCAAAGCTCATGTATAAAATATTGCAGGTACCACTTAATTTTCAGAACAAAGGGTTAAAGAACAAATTTCCATTAAAGGGGAACAATCATCGTTCCCTGAATCTCAAATTATCAGCAACTCGCGTAACAGTGTGCGTGTGTTTGGGATTCAGTTTCAGAGCCCGGAAGCGCATAAATTAATTTACATTTTAATCGATCTCAAAGGCGTCTTTTTATGAATATCGATTTACGACTACCCTTCGACGAGATTCGACCGCCGAGAGAAATCACGAATCTATGCCAAACGTTTGTGAAATTGAGGACATGCGCGTACACACGCGAGAAGTCTTCCTTGGTGGCATTGTGAGCCATCCTCACCGGCGAAAGTTTATTTACAGTCGGCGAGGTATTTTCAATCCCGAAGCGTGGCCGGATACACGATTTTGCGAGACCCTTGATCCCGTGGAGAGATGGATTCCTCGCGGCGCACCGCGGTGTTCCGTAGCTACCTCGTTCTACAGAGTACATCTAGATAAATAATTAATGGTCAACGGCAAGGCTGGTCCGCGCGGAACAGGTAGACCGCAGGTGTGAGAGTCGTTGTCTGTTCGTACGAAAATATTTCATGTCCGATTGCCGTCGGACTACGGAAACAGCTGGGGTGAGACTCAGTGGTATCGTATCTAAACTGAAAGTACCGTGCAGTTAAATTAACATTTTGAAATTTTTATAGAGAAACTCGAAGAGTGCATCTATTGAGATTTCAACTAAGTTACAACCCAATTTGCGCATTGTTAAATCAATTTCTCTAGTTATTACTCATTAATGATGAAAAATTAATGATTTTCATTGATTTTCTCGGAAGAAAACGGAATCCGTCTGTTATCTTTTCGATAATTGGAGAAAGAAGAAATCTGAGATGGGTTTGTTAGTTAGGTTACTGGGTAGTTCTAGCGTTAAGAGAGTCCGTTACTGATTACTTAAGATTTGTTGTTGTAAAAACCAATGAATAGTATGTCGACTATTTTAACTCTTTCTTCTATAATATCATGTCTAGATATGATCTAGAATTTAACCCTGACATCTATAATGTCAGACTAGTGATGACTATTTTCAACTGAATTCGACAAATCTAAATGTTATTTATTTTTCATGTAAAGGAAATATTACTTGGTTACTATCAATTTTTAATTTTTAGAGTGAACGTAGGCACAGAATAAGCATCGGATTTTTTTTTAACGACGTAGTTCCATCAAGTACAATTGTGGAAGAAATCATAGGGCAAGGGGTTAACCAAGTGGGAACTGGTTTAAATATAACATATTTTCTATATATGTTGTTTGTTAAAAATCGTACAAAATATAAAAGGATGCTTAAAGAGTAGAATTGTGTTATAGCAAGATTTTGACTTATTAAGAAATAAATTTATTTGTTAAATAACGACGAATTGTTTATTTGTGCATTCGAGACTCTGTTAATTTGCTAAATAAAATTGAAATAAATCTCCAATGAACATTTATAGATGTCTTCTCTAAAATAACAAGTGAATTTTCATTTAATTAGTGAAGTAACGTTTCAAGTTTATATACCACAGTTTATAAATCACCTTTATATTCAAACTTTCTCAAAACAGACTATAAGTATATATATATATATATTTGAAGAAAAAAGGGTTATTAACTTTCACAGGATCCAATATAGCCTTTTATCACGCACCTCGTCATCTGTTTGCTTAATGTTTTCGTTCTAATTTCTATGATCGTATCTAAACACGTTATAATATCTTTATTACGTGTATCTTCTATTTTTTCTAATAGAATTACCGACATAATTAATCCAAATTAGAATCAGTATCAGTTAGTCCTGAAACACAATTCACAATCTAAGATTATATTGCAAGTTGGTTCCCCATGACTGGTCACGTTCAGTACCATGGATAACAAGTATCTATGTAATAAGAAACGAAGAAAAGAAAGCGAGATTGAAATTAGGAAACAAGGATCGTGCGATTATATACAGAGTCTCTTTTGCAATATGATTCAGGGTTACGTAATTCGACGACTGAGCCTGGTGCAAACAGTGAATCCCGGCTCAAACTGCTCTGGATCGTAATTAATGTTATTATGACCTCTTAAGGAGTTCCTTATTACAAAGGCTACGTGGAAAGTTGTTTTTCTTCGGGAATTGTCCCGATCCCACGCACGATGGAACGCAAATTTTACTGACAAGAGTTATGCGATGATTCCAGTTCGATTTCACTTGGAATTGTTCGCGGCTGCCGGCTCACAAATTCAATTACACCGCATTAAGTTCCCCAGGCGTAACGGGCAGCCGTTTAGGCTTCCATGATCGCGATTATGGATACGAATTTATAATACAACTGGTAATTGAATTACTAATCAGAAGAAATTAGATATTTCTCCTGTGTCTTCATTTAGTGGTCGAGTTGTTTCACTGACTCTGTAACCCGCCATCTTGTAAGGAATTTTTTTGAGTGATCGATGTAAACGTTTTTTTAATATTAGCTGTTTATGTATTTCTTAAATTGTATTTCAATTTTTGCCTTACTATTTTTATCACGATCATATTTATCGAAATAATTTCATTCCTTTTTAATGTTTAAAAAGAACAATCGTATATATCAATTTTTCAATAGTACGATAAAATTATATTTTATTCGACAATGAGCAAATGATATTCGCGTTTATTAAATGTTTTCAAGTCACGGAACGTTCAAGTGATTTTGAATGCATATAAATATGAATGAGATTGAACATTTCATTGTTAGGAGAAACAAGATATTTAAGTGAAATATAATTAATACATGTAACAAGGCTTAATCAGGAAAGTTCTACTATCTGATAATATGATTTCATCTCAGCATCGATGAATATAAGTAAAGGAGTATATGTTCTTAACGAAAAAAATATTGAATTTGATAAAGAATTAACATATTTAAACTAATCGTATAATGATTGACTTCCTGATTGAGCAATGAAACCCAATTAATTAAACGAATTAAAAAAGCAATTATACGGAACATTATGCGACACTTTCAATAACGAAATTGAGAAAAAGAAAACGTTTACACTGACATTTGTATATGTATAATAAATTCTCACAAAATGGTTTTAAAGTGGGTTAATCACCCTACACGATTACAAATGACACCGATACCGCATTACGACTACTGCTAATCAGAAAGATAGAATTTAACCTTGTAAATCTACATTAATCATAAAACATAAATACGAGTTGATGAATCTTTGAGCGTCTTCTATTAATATCGTAAGTCATTTCTATACGTTTATCCGCGCGAAGGACACGCCGGACACCTCAGACGAGGGGAAACGAATAAAGGAGCGAAGAACGAAAAAGTGAGAGCTCGATTTCACCTGACTAATATCGTCCTGCAGTGATTTACATGACTCGTCTAGCTCCGGTTCCGCTTCTACCTTCACGCGGATGGTTTTCCGAACGAGACACTCGGGTTCGTCTTGAATTGGTGATTCTTGTTCGGTAGGTGGCCCACGTTCAACGCCAACACTTTGGAAACAATATTCAGGTCCTCGTGGTTGCCGGTTCCTTGGACGCTACCCAGGTCAGTAGCTATACCGGACTGATACAAAAGATGCTGTATCTGTTTAGCAGGCGTCGCTGGCTTGGTCTGCCTGTACTGCACGTAAGGATTATAGAAATTCGCAGGAGTTCTCTGCGGCACGCTGAACCCGAAGTTGTTTCTGCTGGACGTGGTTTTGTGGTCCGCGTTGAATCCAAAATTACCGACCGAGTTGAAAGCTTCTTGCCTATTAAATCTGGTCGTCGAAGGCAGCGAGGATTGGAAATCATTGGAGAAGCCAGGGAAGCTTTGCTGTAGTCTCTGTTGATGCTGCTGTTGTAGCTGTTGAGGCTGATGCAGTTGCTGCAGCTGTTGCGGCTGTTGCAAATGATGAGTTTGATGCAACGTCTGCAACTGTTGAGGTTGTTGCAGTTGCTGTAATTGTTGAGGCTGCTGCAGTTGTTGAGTCTGCTGTTGGAAATGCTGTTGCTGCTGACGGAACGGTTGGAAACGTGGGTCTTGGAAGGCTGGTTGGAAAGGTGGAGGCGTCGCAACACTAGGTACTTCTAAAGCCACGCTGGGTTGAAGGTGAACATTTTGTTCAGGTACTTGGAAAGACAACAGATTGTTGTTTTGTTCGAAGAAAAATTGCTTCTGCGGAACTGGCCGTTGCGATTGGAACCTATGAGCTCGTTGCTCCTCAAGCTGCTTTAACCGTTGCTCTTCCAATTGCTTGTATCTTTGCTCCTCGAGTCGTTTAAGCTTGGTCTGCTCTTCCAACTGCTTCAGTCTAGCTTGTTCCTGTAGATAATACTGCTGCTCTTGTTTCTGTCTGAGTTGCTGCTCGTACAGTTGCTGTTGTCTAACCAAGAACTGCGTCTGCTGAATCTGTTGCTGCTGTAGCTCCACTAATTGCTTCTCCAAGAGTTTCTGCTTGAATTCCAACTGTTCCTGTAGCGTCAACGCTTGAGTATCTCCAGGGGATCTAAAGATTGGGACAACACTTTTTGGCACGCCTTGTTCATCCTGCTGGACTGTGAACGCTGCTACCAGTGGAGCTTGAAAGATCTTCACTTCCTCGGTTTTGTCTTTGGACTCGTCGACCGCGGTGACATTGTTGCTAGACTGCGTCGTAGGAACAGGCTCAATTGATTTTTGCGCAACCAAAGCGTTTGCCGATGCAATGCCGTTAGTGGCACTTCCTGCGAGGCTTTCCGAGACTTCCGTGGCCGGCTTCAACGTCAAACTTTCGACTTTGCTCACGGAGAAAGTATTGGCAGGAGCCTGGGGACTCTGGTTCTCTCTCTGCTCCGCCGTGGCTTCTATTTTGGTTCCGAACGTGACACTTTTCTCGGGGAGGATCACATTCTGGACGTGAAAGCTTCTGGACTCCTCTTGCGTCGCCCTTTCGATGTTCATCATTGGTGTCTTCAGCGTCACATAACGGACAGCTTCGATGAAACTCGAATTTTGGAGCTTGTCCTCTGTTGGCATCTCCTCGTCCCTCGGAAAGCTCTGGAAGGAGAACATAGTTTTCTGCACATCCAAGCCATTGTTCAAGTTTTTCTTCGCAACACCGTCGAAGTTGGGTTCTGTTTGGGGAATAAATTCCTTTTCGCTCTTTTGTTGCTCCGCCGATTCAGCTTCTAAGTCGCTTAGAGCTTTTAGAAGCGCTCGACGGAGATTTTTATCCAATTTAATGGGTGGTTGCGTAGGATCTAAACCCGTGGCAGAGATCTCGGTTTCTTGAGATCTTGTCAGGGTTATTGATGCGGTCACCAATAGGAGTACTAGTGTTACCTGTAACATAAAAGCAAAATCAGTCATCATTGCATCAATTTTAGAGACTCGTGAAATAAATAGAATCTATTATGTTCATTTATGTTGTTATACAATTTTAACAGCTACATTACTATTATATTAATACGAAATTTTTGTCAAAATGGTCTAAGATTTATTTTTCAATTAGTTTTCCAAGTTTATTAGAAAAGAAAAATTTAACAATGAACGCTTTCAATAGGAACGTCAGATATTTAAGACAGAAGATGACAGTAATATAGTAGAAACATGTTAATATATGAAAGTATGTGAATATGACTCATACCGTGGTCCATAAATAATGTATTTCTTAACTATGCAGACAATAATTTGCATATTGAAAAAAAGCAATCAATAACTTACGGAGAAAGTTGTCCACATTAATGAAATATATACGATCAAATTATGTAAATTTCGGTAATTATTTAATCAATAGCAAGCACAGATAATATTGTAAGACGCGGAGACCATGTCTGAAGTAATATTATCAAGAAAGAAATATTATTTAAATAAATTGCTTAATAATAAACATTAGTTATTGAAATTTTTCATTATCTTTTAAAAAATGGTATTTCTATTATACAATCTTAAATTATTCATAATTAATTTATGTCAGTAAACTAATAAATGATCTGTCAGTATACCAAACCATCTTCACGAACAAAAGTAGTTTCTAATTTCCCTTTCATGCAGAGTCGTGTGAATATATGAATCCCCCTATACATGGCGTCTGTCATTGCAGTTTCCAACACAAAACAGTCTACTAAACTGAACCGTGTCAGGCAGGACAAGTTATGCAATAACTTCTTGACTCGTCATTGTGTTATAATGCATAACTATTCTTTTGTAACAAATAAATAAAGGAACAAAGACTGCAAACAAAATTATGTAATCTTTCACGTTCGCATTAAATACGTGCTAACAAACTGAAACAATAGCATCCTAATAGATTATACCACTTCCAAACACAATTTTTATCTTATAAATACAATAACTTAATAATTGTAAATACAATTATTTTGATTTTTTCAGAATAAAAGAGAATGTAGTTTAAATAAATTATAATAATTATGTTTACATTTTAAATACACAGTTTTATATATATTAAATACACATTTTAAAATACAGTTTAAATTTCTAATACACATTAATAAATACGAGTGAAAATTTAAAGCTTTTAGTAAACTATAATACTAATTGTAAATATAAATTAAACGATTGTACATCTTCAATCAGTTATAATTAGGTTCTATAAACGAAACCTCCAGAATTATTAATTTTACGCTGCACATTGTATCCGCCATCAAATTATCAGGTTAATTTTTAGTAAAAAAAGGAACAGTATTCACAATGCATCGTAGAGAATTATCATTATTCTTTTTTGATCAAAAGTGCAGAGCTTCGAACCAAAAGAAAAAATTGTTCTAAATTTCGAACGAGTTATAAACCTTCAGAATTATTAATTTCATGAAATACACAGCCCATTGTACTCACTACCAAATTATCGAATTAATTTTCACTGAAAAAAGATTAAGGAACAAGAATAATTGTTTCTCAGTTAAAAATGCGTTGCTCCGAATCAGGAGAAAATATCGTTCCAGCTGAGAAACGGATCATTCGCGGCGGCGACCGCGCCTTCAGAGGTCGTAAGTTCCCTTCTGTTAAGGTGGATATTACCTCAGCGTTATTACAAGGCACGAACTTTCACATCGGTCGTTAAAGTCTCTATGGTCGAAAAGGAAAAGCGATTTTCGTTTTCCCTGGCAGCGATGGAATGCCGACGGGCTAAGAATAAAGTACGGCTTCTGTCTCTGACGACAACGACAACGAGCGTCATCGCAGAGTCAAGAGAAAACACCGGGTCCTCTCATATATTTAACGAGTTAAGTGTCGAACCCGGCCGACGGAAAAATGGTAAACCAGGCGGTGGCCCGCGAAATGAGCTGCCTCTGGCATTTACAAAGAAAGTTCCGCGTAGAAGACCTAACCGTAATCCAACAAAGCGACGCGGATGAATGTTAAAACGTGGATGCGGACAATGAAAAATTGACGCTATGATGTTACTTTAAAGGTTTGCGCAAGGAACACCTGTTACTTATTTTATGATTCGGATGCCAGGTCCGTTTTCATGGGATCTGTTAGACTCTGTGATTGTATTTTCCCACGCCCAATATTTACCGTCATGTGACGACACTATTGCTGCCTTTGTTTTACATAAATGTCGGTGAAATGTATACAGGTGCAGGATTATTCGGATATGGTTATTGTTTCGTGTAACTGTTTTCTTAATTTGACTCGATAAGGATATCTAAGTATCATGTTGTGCAAGCTTTTAGATCAGTCTACGATCATGTTTTATGTACCGTGCGTAAATACGTTCCTGTAATTTGATGTTTACTTTGTTGCCGTTTTATATAAAGTGTGTAGATGTGGTTTCTATATGAATAAAATATGAGGGTTAAATGAATTGCATACGAAAATTGCAACACCGGGAAAAAAAGAATAATGCAGATACATTTTAAGTATCAAATCTTGAAAAGTTTTCTTTCGCATCTTATGTATCGCAGATTTCTTTGGAATAAGAAAATGGAATAAAAGATGTTATGCACATTAAGGTTTAGTACTAATTTATAAAATTCACTACCCAATAGTTACTGTCATTGTTTCTGATTCATTACGTCTGAACACATAAATAAATGTCCTCCAGATCTGTACAAATTTCCGCAGGCTTACATTCTTCATAATATTTTCTAGAGTGAGCATACATTGCAAACAAAAGTTCATATCGTGCATTATTCATCTGAAGCAGTTTTGCGTAACAAATGGTCGTGCAATTTATTAGGCATTTGCTCCCATCAAATTACGCAAATCGTCCACCATTATCCATGGTCTATTAACGAAATTCAGTGAAAAGCTGTTCCGGCATTCACGAGTACAATGATTATACAAGAGGTCTCATTAAGTGTCAAATTCCTCTTTTTATAGTCGTACAGTTTTGGAGTGTTTCCGTGGTTGAACGTGGTGGGAGAAGGTAGACACCCGCCTAAAGTAGTGGCTATATATCTTCGCGAACTTTCTAAACCACCGAATAATCGTGTGAACATCTTAGTCTTCTTCTTTGGTCCAGCATCTCGTTAAAACATTCGGTGGACACCGAAAAAAACAAGACGCGAGTGTGTCAAGCCGATTCCAGCTCGTTTGCACTTTCAACAGAAGCGACACTTTTGGGGATCGGTTTTATTCATTGATCGGTTGTCACGTGTCATTACACATTTGTAGATGATAAATTAGATGACATTGAAAAAGAAATTTGGCTCGCGAAATTTAGCTAGAAGCACAGTGGAGCAAAATAGTGAATCTCTAATTCAAAAAATAGTCTTATTTTCAACATTAACTTAATATTACAGTACTTGATGAAAAAATTAGGGTCACCATAGATGCCATCTTTGAGAAGATCAACAATGAATGTCTTTTAATTAAATCCGATATTTATGTCGGCTCGTTTCTCCATATTAATTTTTTATAACTCAAGCTTAATTTCTTTGCTTAACTCTCGATCTTAACATTACGATAAAAAGATTCTTACTAAATTATCTTTCGAACTTCCAATACTACGATTACAATGAGAAATGTTAAAAACTATGTGTGCTAATTGTTTAAATTAATAATAAAACTAAATTTTTGATCAGGGACTGTAACGTACCAAGTGGAAATGGCAGATAGTAATTTTATTATTTTACAATTACTGCAACAAAATTTCCGAAATTATTTTGAAAATTAATTGAACGTCAGCAGAATCTTCGAAAAATAGTTTTAATGAATACCCGAAAATTCTGGTGTTAATTAATATTTTGTTATTAATAAAATAGTAAGATTAGAATTTTTATAGTTAGTTGATTGAACTCAATAATTATAGTGGTAAGTAAGGTTTGTGAATGAAAGGAGTCGCTTAAGATTCCGAGAAACAAAGTTGAATGAGAATTCCTGCGAGTCATTTTATCAGAGTGTACGTGACTGACCTTCTCATTGACAATCGGCTTTCTAAAAGCCGATTTTCCAGAAGACAATTCTCCGACCCGTCGTTTTCCAGCATGTAAATGGAACCGGTGAGAATTTCTCCGCTACGAGCGGACAGCTTTTCGATTAGAAAATAACAATGACACATGGGAAAATAATAGGTCGTCATTCTTAGACCAATGCGAATGGAGAACGAGGTATGTATCAGTAAAAAGCGAACGTTGCCAAATTACCACGTAGTAAAATATAAAATGGTAACATTACCGAGCAATCAAACATAATGTCAGAGGCAGTTCTCAGTTTCTACTCTGGCACGAGAGTATTCATAAACCTAGCAGTAAACTTGCTCCATATTTGTCAAACGGTGTTGGAAAATTCAAGAGTACATTCTACTTCGTTTCTTTGATGCTTAATCTCTCGCACTAGGATTTCTTTCACAACTACTACTCCGCAAATAGTTTCATTGTTTATAATTCATTAGAAAAAGAAAGAAAGTTCACGCTCACTCTATGCTTGCGTTCATTCTGAAGCACCACAATTGATAATAGTAAAATAATATTTAATGTAGACACGAAAGAATGAAGTGACACTTATATTTGTATAATTCAAACAAAATTATATTTGAATTCTGTTAATGACAGTAAATATAATGTATAAACTTTCGTACTAATAAATATTTGAGGACAAACAAATCTACCCATTTAAAGAATATAAATATTCAAGTGTAGATGTATTAAGTCGTTAAAATAATGAATTATAATCATAAGCTATGGAAATGTTGGAGCACCATTGAAATAATTTAAACTAATCGCTGTATCTCCCAATTAGCTTACGTTGTAACACTTAAAACCAATAAAACAGTATTTCTATAAATAATTCCAAGTTTCCATTCTTCCACGATGAAAGTACGAGAGTACAAGCCTCCACAGTGAAATCGTTCTATACTTATTATCACGATTCCAGAT